CCAGGATTGTCAAGATGTAGCATACTAGAAAATGGCTTCGTATTCCTCTCTTCTGAGGGGGCCTCTGGGAGTGTGCAGTTTGCCCAAGGTCACATAGTCAGGCTCTCCTACATGGCATAGTGTGGAACTCAATTCCTGACTCCTGGCTAGAGGGTAGGTGCTCTGACAGACTGAGCTATCCAGCAGCTAATATTTAAAGCAGAGAAAATCAAGTATTTACACATAAAGCGAAGCATAATGTGCAAAAACATACACAATTAAATACACTGAATAGAAGAAAGGAAAAAAACTATGCATCTATAATCTATGTTTAAAAAATCATCTTAAGACCGGTACTATGCAGGAGATTGCCATTGATCACTTATATAGCCATTTGTATATTGTGATTCACAAGAACAAAGTTTCTGTTTCAGAAAAATCCACAGTCCTGGTGGCAATGGGTTTGTGGGGTTTTTTTTGGGGGGGGGGTATTTATTTATTTAAGAGACAATAAGCAAACAAATGAGGAAAGGTTACAAAGCTTTATTTAGGAGATAATGAAGTTGGATGGAAAAACCACAGTAGAAAAATCACACAGAATGAACAAGCATAAAAAACAAAAGCTGCAGCAATACAGTGCAAAGCAGGAAGAACAGCAATGATACAGGGTATAAAATAATAGCTTTCCGTCTGATTTAGTCTGGAGATAGACACCTTCTGTTGCAGTTCCAAAGGCGTGCTTCAGCATGACAGCAAAAATGATCCCAAAAAGGGTTGGTGCTAGGACACAGCCCTGTTTCAAGCGGGATCTGAAGGCCGTAGGAATGGACCTCAACAGATAGGAAACCCTGACATTTGAGCGTTCAGCCTGGGGGCAGGTGTTGCATCACGGCCTCTCCCAATTTGAAGAGACCCTTGTCCAGCAGGCTGAGGCAAAGAGGCAGTCCTGAAAGCAACAAAATCAGGGAGCTGGACAGGGGACAGATTGCATTTGTCTCCAGTGTGTAAGGGATTGTCACTCTTGAATTGGCCTTCTCAGGCACACTAGATGCTGTTCCAAGTTCTCCATACAGAGCCCATTACCATAGTCTTTCGAGACTGAAGGATGCCTAACTAACTAAAATAATTGTTGTTGTTTAGTCATTTAGTCGTGTCCGACTCTTTGTGACCCCATGGACCAGAGCACGCCAGGCCCTACTGTCTTCCACTGCCTCCCAGAGTTGTGTCAGATTCATGTTGGTAGCTTCAATGACACTGTCCAACCATCTCATCCTCTATTGTCCCCTTCTCCTCCTGCCTTCACACTTTCCTAACATCAGCGTATTTTCCAGGGAGTCTTCTCTTCTCATGAGAACTAAAATAATAGAATAAAGCAAATGAAATAAGATGTGATTTTTCACTCTTTCTGCTTCACGGAGCTCTTTGGAGAATGGCAGCAGATGGTTCCAGATAAGTATGGACTTGAGCCTCCCAAACGAAGACTTTTGGAATCTTACATACCTTTAGCCAACATACTACTCTTGGCAGACCAACCTGAAACACCCAAAGGTTTACCAATTGTTGTTGTTAGTATCTGTGTGTGGCCATGCAGCCATAGCTGACTGAGACACAGGATTAATTTTAGTTTCAGTAAATTCTTGTACTAAAGAAACAGAAGCTATGCATGAGCACATACTAGTGTGTGTGGGTGCATGTATGTGTAAATGTATTTGTATTGTGTTCAAAGCATATGTCAATTGTCAATCCTTGAGAACCCCCAAGACAATGAAAAGCAACAAAAAGTTTAAAACTTCCTTTTAAAAACATTAAATACTTTTTTTAAAAAAATTGCAGCTAGCTAGGTAACAATGGACCTGGAAGCTTCTGCTTCTGCATGGGATTGGCAGGTGTCAGGGTACCAGCTGAAATGTCAGGGTACTGGTATGCTTTGTCAGATCTCCAGCCAGAAAGACAAATTTCAAAGTGAGCAATGATGGATGAGAAAGTATAAATTTTGTATATGAAGAGGCATTTCCACCTTCTTCTATGATAGGCTGAAACCATATGACAAAAAACAGTGAGATGGGATTGGAGGTGAGGTGGGATGGTGGTCCTATTTTGCTTTTAATGGAATTCGCTTGGGACAATCCCAGTCCCTTGAGACCTGTATATACTTTATATGCTTGTCGCTTTTTATTTAATTTAAATTCCACATTTGAGGTCTAATGGCCTCAAGACAGCTTTGTAACTCTTATTTTATCATCACAACAGTCACATAACACTGGCCCTTTTGTGAACTAGCAGATTAGGACTCATGTGTTCTGCTGAATCAATTGAATTCCTTTAACAGCTTTGATGTATTCTTTTAGTGTCATTGTTACATAGTATCATTAATACATATGTGGGAGTGTGCTGTGTGTTGCCAATTCACATCTGATTTATGACAATTTTAACAGGGTTTTCAGGTTATGTGAAATATTTAAGGAATGATTTTATCAATGCCACTGTCCAGTGAGTTTCCGTGACTAAGCAGGCATGTGAATCCAGGACCCTTGCACCATTCTAATTATTTCACTATTGTTTGATAAGGAGCATCCTGCCTCTGTGGCTTAGGCAAACTAAAAGAGATTTTAATTAATTAATTAATTTTTGAAAGATATTCACTGTTTTCCTTTATACAATAAAGTTCAATTGCCCATAAGAAGTGAGGCAGAATTACATGGTTCTGTAGGTACCTGAATTACATTACTGAGAAACCACAAATTCATCTCCCATCACACAGATACTCCAAAAGTGACTAACAAACTTCTACACTTTTCCTCTATGTTGACCAGCCAGCCAAGCCTGCAAGGCAGATTATAACTATGCCCAATATGTAGTAGTAGTTGTTGTTGTATGCCACCAAGTTGCCTTCGATTTATGGTAACCCCATGAATGAATGGCCTCTAAAATGTCCTCTCTTCAACATCCCTGTGTACCTCTTGTAAACTAAAGGCTGTGGCTTTCTTTAGCAAGTCACTCCATATTGTATTTGGTCTTCTTTTCTTGCAGCTTTCAACTATTCACAACATTATTGTCCTTTCCAGTGAATCTTGATGGGTCCAAAATATGGTGGATTCATCATTTTTGCTTCCAGAGAAAGTTCAGGTTTGATTTCTTCTAGGAACTACTTGTTCACCTTTCCACAAAACTCTCTAACAACACCATCTTTCAACTGAATCCTTTTCCCCCCCTGTCAGCTATCTTCACTGTCCAATTTTCACACCCACACACAGTGCTTGGGCATACAATAATGTGGATGATCTTGGCCTTGGGCTTGAGTGACACATCCTTGCCCTTGATGATTTTTTTAAATTTTTTTCATTATTTTCTAACTCCTTCATGGCTGCCCTTCTGAGTCTCAGTCTTCTGATTTCTTGGCTGAAGTCTCCATTTGAATTGAATGTCCACTGTGGCAAGAAGTTAAACTGACACACTTGTAGCTGTAGTCTCCATTGCAGTGCAATCAGAGTCTGTCGTCATCCCTATACAGTATGGCTCAAACCACCTGGCTGCATTTTGGATTTGTCATCCTAGTCTATCGCAGAAGAATGTGCAAATGTAGGTCAACGTGTTTGGGAGACAGGCCTTCCAACAAGAAACTACATGAGCCCAGACATATGTGCCAGCTAACTTCCCTGTCCAAATTCAATGTTACGTATATATACACATGTGTTTGTCTGAGTGTAAAATAGTTATGCAGTTGAGCATGTAGATACATTCCAGTGGCAAGCAGCTAGCAAGGCGAACGTGGGTGGTGCCTGCTGTTGAGTAGTGAACTTTAATTCAAGGGAGTTTGATGTTCACACACATACAGCTCTTAGAAATGTAGATCTGATTTGGTTAAAGTGACACATTTGAAAAATCCAGTGTGTTTCTTTTCCATTTTCTCCCTTTTATGGTTGTGGCTGAGCTTAAGATACCAATGGTATTTCATCCTTAATAGTTGTTTTATTCATGAATGCTGCAACTTGATGCTGCAGATTTTGTTGAATAAAAATCATCATTGTCACTATCAATATTCTTAATTGCACAATGGACTATTTCACATTGGCAACAAAGTCTGTTTTCCAATTGCACATTATTGTTGCTCAGCCTAACTAGAAAAGCAACGTTTTCTAGTTCTGTAACTGGCAACAATAAATAAGACTGCATTTGATCTGTCAGATTCTTGTATGGTGTGAATGTGACTTAGGGTTTGAAGCTGGTCTCTAAGGAACTTTTGGGATGTATTAAGCCCAGCCAATGTGCAATGCTTTCACCAGTTCATACATTAGCAATGTCACGGTTTCAGTTGAGTATTTTCTCAATCATTAATGGGGAAATAATTGTCACTATTTAAAAACAACTAGAGCTCTCGATTTCAGATCAAATGATGGCGCTGCTGGTAGTTTAATTCTTTCCGTCACTTTGAAACCAATTGATGCGAAACACTGGAGGATGGAAATAAATAAATATGATTTATTATATATCGACCTCTGTGATTCATTCCGGGGCTGAGTAAAACAGAATTGAACATGCTTGTGGCAGCGCCAATAGAGACACAACGTTCCACATCCTGTACGCGTTCTCAGACTGGAAAAGCTGTTTTTCAAAATTGACATTTCGTTTTACTGCCCCTATTAACAAGACGCAATACGTATCTGTACACGTAGCATCGCGCCCATTTAAAATGCTCGAGTGTGAATGAGAGGAAAAAATCTCAAAAAGTAGGTTAATTTTTAGGGGCGGAGAACGATTTCTTTTAAGGAGGGGAGGGAGAAAGAGAAGAGCGCTCTTGGCCCCTCGGTGGAAGAATAGCTCTCCAAAACACAGGGACCCAAAACTTTCTCTTCTTCACGCTCCCCACCCCCATCCCTGCTTTGCAACGTGTTGCAGTTCCTTTTAGCGCAGACCCAGCTGCCAAACCGCTGAAAAGTTCTCCTCCACTTTGGAAGTCTTCAAGGAAGCTTCTCCAGCGGGCCCCCCCTCCCCAAACCCGCCCTCCTTTTCCCTTCCGCCCACAACTGGCTGGGCAGCCTGTGGGGTTCGTGACGCAGCGTCTGAATTCTTAGGAGGCCGGGAGGGGCTTTGAGGGGAGGGGGCTCTTCCATTTTTCTTCCCTCTCCCCTCCCCTCTCCCTTCTCTCTATCTCTTGCTCTCCCATCACCTTCCCCTCAGGAGAAAGGCCGAGGGGAGGGGAAAAGGCCCCTGAGGCAAAACAGCACAACGGACGAGAGCGAGCAAGCCCCAAGACCCGGCGGAGCGGAGCAGGACCTCGCCGGCCCCGTCTCCCCTCCCCGCTATGAAACTTCCCAGCCCCCCCTGCTCGCCACGGCCTCGTCTCTTCAGATGCGCCTTGGGCATCCTTTTGACCCTTGAGGTCGGAATCTGCGCGCTTCCCCCAGGTAGGCTGATAGGGGCAAATGTCCCCCCCCACCTCACAAACTTGTGAGGGCTGGATGGAGGGGGCGAGTATGAAAGGAGGTGCTTATAGATCTGCCTCTTAAGGTGGGAGTGTGTGCGTGTCTATGTGAGTGGCGGGCGGGGGGGGGGAGAGAATCTTGCTTCTTCACAAACTTCGTGTACTTTTATCTCCCGGATCCTTTCCCCTTCCTCCCCCAACCCCTTATTTTTTTGGATAGCGGTGAGGGCACTGAGGGGGTGTGCTTGGATTTTGCGAAGGAAGGAGGGACCTGAATGAAACCAGATGTGGTTTGGAATGGCAAAGGGAGGAGAATGGGAGGCTAGCTGGCGGTATGAGCTCTGGCTGTTTGAAAAACTTGCTGCGCCTCCATCTCCCCGTCGACGAATTCAGCAGCAAAATGTACTGCCTCTGATGGGAAGATCCCCCCTTGCAGGGAGTATCACAGCGGCAGTTGAGCAAATATTGAGAGCAGGGGGTACGGCTGCCCTTGGAAACCCCTTCCATACCTGGAGGTATTTGAGTCCCTCCCCAACAAAATCCCGCTTTTACTACAGTACCCTGAAGGCCTTTCACCTCTTGCCAGCAAATCTTTACATGCACTCATACAAATTCAAGTGTGTATGTGTGTGCTTTTGCTGTGCCTGTCCGTGCATGCATGTGGTTCATACCCTCCCACGCTGTCTCCTCCAATTGTCCACTGATGATAGAGGTTTGGCTTATGCAACCGAGATAGATGTGAAGGTCCAGAGTGAAATTTATTCATCCCAAGAGCTTGGTCGGTTGTTTTCAGTCTGTGCTTTTCCACCATAGTTGCATCGAACGTTTTTGTTCAAATTGGCAAAACTGCTCCAAGGTCTGGACAGATCATTGGTTCATTCTAGACAATGGAAAATATACCTTCTGATCCTGCTTTTGTTTTTGGTTGTGTGCATTTCAAAACTGGGAAACTTAACAAACAAGCCACTGCACATCTTCTAAAAAAGTTCCATCATGACTTAAGAGGGGAAATATTGAGAGTGGGGGAGTTTAAACTGAAACAAATTATGGAGAGAAATTATGTTGGAAAATTACAGCATTATTAGTGAGAAAGAGTGGATAGTTTAGGAATTGCTGCCTTTTAAAAAAAAAGTTGGGTCCAAAAAGCATAGAAAAAGACATGAATGTGGTGTAGACTGCTTATAAATATTTACAATATTTGTGCAGCCAGAAAACAGAACACCCTCAGTATGTACAATGGTAGACTTTTTGTGGCCTTATTTGCATTTTGGACTTCATGATTTTGCACTCATCAAGCTAACCAGGTAACTGTCTCTGCTCCTTCTGCTTTTGAATGTGTCCCCTGGCCCCAAATTACTAATACTATGAACCAAGTATTCTGCTTTCCACAGCACCTTTTAAAGTGTAAAACAACAGTTGTTGGGAGCTGCAATCACAGCTCTCCCAAGTGTTGTGTACTTTGGCCCCTGATATACTGAGCTTGGGCTTGAGAAGATCCATAGTCATCATTCCTCTCTTGAGTCACAGACAATAGTCGTGGGCCAATTTCTCTCTGCCAGGTTCAGTATACTGTCTGTAAAAGGGGAAAAATAATGCCCCAGTCTCAAGCATCATAAAGGTGTTGCAGAATTATAATTTGAACAGTGTTTGCCACTAAGCAAATGTTTAGTAGAAATTAAGCAAATTATATTGGCACACAGTGTTCGGCCACTTCAAGTTTTTAAGAAGGTCTTCAACTGCTAAAAGATTTTGAGTTTGACAAGTTTTACTGTTTTTCTTATAGTGTGCCTTTCTTGGTTTCCCCTGTTCTGTTTTTCATCTTTTAAATAATGATGATGTGGTGGTTTTCTGTATGTTTATTTTACTTTTATTGTGTTACAGATTGATAGATATAAAATACATTTTTATTTGCTAGTCATTCCTTTAAAGGTGGGGATACAAACACTCTATATTAATAATAAAGTGTTGTTCAAAGTTCTGTGTAGATCCATCATACTCTAGCTTTCCCCATTCTGATGCTGGGGACAGCTGTATTGGGTGGTCACTCCCCATCTTCCCCAGTTAGTATTTAGCAAATCAAATGCAAGTTTATTTGTGTGGCCTTAGCCATTACAAACACACAAATAAATTAAAACAGAAACATTAATCATCTAAATACAAATCAAAACTAATATTAAAAGTAAGTTAGATCCGGTTAATCAATGAGGTCCTTATCACTACAGTATTTCCTTAAAATTGATGCTCAGAGATATAGGCCTCATAACCAACAGGCCTTTTTTGTTAGAGGATAACCACATATAACAGAAAAAGTAGCCTGCTTCGCCTTCAGTTAGTATGGCCTATCTCTGTGATGATGAGAGAAGGGCTTCACACATTTGGAAGCCAATAAATTGGAGAAAACTGATGTACTCTAGAGGCCCTGTTTCTTTTGAAGGCCTTTCTTAACATGGGAAGTGAGCTGCTCTTAACAATATAACTGTCTAAAAGAGTTGTGTCTGCTTAGTGTTTTTCCTTAATTAATTTAGCTGCTGATTATTATTTCTACCTCTTGAAAGGTTAATCTTTGCCTATAAAACAGCAGCAGGCTTTGTTTGTTTGTTTGTTTTGAGTTAAAAAGAAAAGAGATGGAAGAGGCAAGACTGTCGATCTTAAAGTCAGTCTTAGTGGCTAACTGCATCATTCTACAAAACTAGATAGCTACCCCGGGTGGTGTAGTGAATATAGTGGTGGACTAGGACCCAGGAGATCTGGATTTGAATCCTCACTCTGCCATGAAGACTCACTGAAATGATGACATTTGTAAAACCACTTCTTAAATATCTCACTTACCTGGAAAACTCTTATTAGGGTTGCTATAAGTTGGATTCACCTTGAGAGCAGCAAACATACATAGAACTGGATGTTCCCTATCATCGTGCACATAGAATGTTAGACAGTAGATCTTATGGATATGGCCATGAAAGGGAAAAACCAGCATGGAACTGGAAGGAGGTAGCCAAAACAAAAATATGGACCATATTCCTACTTTCTATCAACCTGGATAGATATGGGGCCTGCTAGACTTCTGTCACCACCCATGCCTCTCATTTATTTCCTTCCCACTTCTCTGTCCTTGCATGCTATGTCCTGTCTGTTCTACAGATCTAAATGTGAATGAATCGGGTACCTGGCTGTGGAGCCAGTGGTTGGGAGTTTGATTTTCCACTGTGCCTCCTGGAAAAGGAACCATTCTGTGTAGCCTTGGACAAACTGCACAGTCCCAGAGTACCACTTCTGAGTACACCATGCCTAGGAAACCCTACAAATTGATGTCATTAGTCAGAATTGACTTGACAACAGTGGATGGGTGCATATTGCATCGGGTACCTGGCTGTGGAGCTAGTGGTTGGGAGTTTGATTTTCCACTGTGCCTCCTGGAAAAGGAACCATTCTGTGTAGCCTTGGACAAACTGCACAGTCCCAGAGTACCACTTCTGAGTACACCATGCCTAGGAAACCCTACAAATTGATGTCATTAGTCAGAATTGACTTGACAACAGTGGATGGGTGCATATTGCCCTGCATGATCAGAGATAAATGGCCTGGTGCTGCGAACAGGTATATTTGTGTTCCTGTGGGCAAATAAAAGAGGGATGACAGCAGTTACATAATATAAAGGACAAATGACGTTTGCCAAACATCAGCATCTTTCTGAAGGTCATGTATTTATTTGGCTAGCTTTTGATTTGTTTCACTTTACTTAGTTTTGTTTTAGCCAGCCTAAACTCTTGCACGTCATGCAATAATATTTGGGGGAAAAGTAAAATGGCAACTCAGAACTCTTCTTTCTGTATCCTTAGAAACCAAAATCTTGCCCAAATGTAAGAGGTCCTGCATTGCCTTTGAAAGATGGTCTATGTCCCAAATTTGTAAAGAGCCACTGATTTTTTTAAAAAATGGGCACCTTTTCCTGCATTGGCTCCTTGTCTGCTTCTGTGCCAGATTCAAAGTATCAGTATTAAACTCTAAGGCCCTTAATGGTTTAGGACCTTGCCACCTGTCAGAGCATTTCTCTATAAAATTATCTGGCTGGACCACCTGGTCTTCCCAGGCATTGTTGTTGTGAGGGCACCCCAAAGAAGACCTGGAAAATGACCACCAGGACCTGGACCATCTCAGTGATGGCTGCATTACTGTGGAACACATTGCTTGTGGATGTATACAGGTGCCCTTCCACCTGTCCTGGAAACAGGTTAAAACTCTGCTTTTCAAGGAGGCCTTTAAGAATGTCCTCCACCTTTGACACTGAATTTTTATTTTGTTCCTGTTCCTTCTGGGTGTGTGTGTTGGTTTTTCATTTAGGGTGGGTGGAATTTTTAATTTTTGTTGTTAACAGCCCAGAGTTGTGGCTTGCCACTAGATAGGTGGTACAGTGGGGTCTTGACTTGAGAACTTAATCCGTATTGGAAGGCGGTTCTCAAGTCAAAAAGTTCTCAAGTCAAATCTACATTTCCCATAGGAATGCATTGAAAACCATTTGATCCGTATCTGCTCTTTTCTGTCCATAGAAACTAATGGGAAGCTGCTATTCTGCCTTCGACCACTAGAGGGGGGATATTTTGTTTCTTTTTTTCTTAGGTCAAGAAAGGTTCAGGGAAGGCAGGGAAAATACAATCCAGACAGTACAGTACCAGGCAGTCCGAAGACTGTCTCCCAATCCACTCTCTAAATGCTGGGAGGAGTGAGGAAGCAGACAGGCACCCTTTTCACTGGCCAATAGTTAACTGAAAGTTCAATTTTTGCACTTTCCCTGCCTCCCACGTGGTTTTTTTTCAGTTCTTAACTCAAATCTAAGTACTTAAGTCAAGTCAATATTTTCCTATGAGAATGGTTCTTAAGTCAAAATGTTCTTAACTCAAGCCGTTCTTAAGTCAAGCCCCCACTGTATATATACGATAGATAGATAGATAGATAGAGAGAGAGAGAGAGAGAGAGAGAGAGAGAGAGAATACTGTGCACTCGACCAAAGGAGAGGGTCAGTATCATTTGTGCTTCATCCCAGGCAGCATAATATGTTGAACTGATCCTGCATAGTATATATTGTAATGTTGTAATGATATATTGCATTCCCATAAAACATTGCCCCAAAAGTACAAAAGCCTCTTAAAAATTCTTGTTGACATGTCTGATATCTCAGATGGAGGTACTACTGAGACATTTTCATACCTTCAGTGATAATGATGTAGGAGAAATAAGTATGCTTTTGTTTTGAGGTGTGATCCTCCACCTTTCTTTCCTTCATCATCTCCTATTAGCACACAGATTATCTATATCATATGTTTTCAAACGTTGATCCTGAAGATATAGTAGATTTCAGCTCCAGGATACAACATCCACATGGATTATAGGAGGTAAAGCCCAGAACATGTGGTGGGCCCTCTTTATATTTTTGGTCTGTATCTCCCATTGTTCCTGACTTTAGATGGGTACAAACTGGGAAAATGACTAATTGGCCTGTTTTGTGGTTTGTGAATAACCACAAACTCCCAGGAACCCCCAGAACAATGAGCTGGTTCATGGTTCATTTTTCTGGTTTGTGCCTGGAGGGAACTTATCTCCTCCTCCCCCTCCCCCCGCATCATTTTTCTGATGACAACCATTCTGCTACGGGTGTTCCATATAGTCATCTGCATCCTAGCTGTGTGGTTGTTCCAGCTGCTCAGAAGACCGTCAGAACCATTGTCTCTGTGTACATAGGTGCCCCTTGTAAGATGCCAGGGAACTGCATGGACGTTGGGGGACAAAGTCAATAACAGCAGGCCACACTGAGGTTGAAACCAGCTCCAGAAGCATGCTGCCCTGTAAATGACTGTGTTTGCTTCATATATCAGAATGTGCGATGAAGCAGTGGGTCTGTAGGTTGACCCAAGGCCCACTCACTTATTGCTGCCTTGGAAATTCTGGGAGTTGTAGTACAAAAACAAAATTTACACAACTTCACTATTTCATGTCATGACTGGTTGCAGATTTGAACTGGGGTCTCCCCCGCTTTAGTTCTGCTCTAGGACAGAGTTTTCCCCAGCTAGGCTTTCTCCAGATACGTTGAGGACATCAGCTCCCACCATTCTCAGACACCAAGACCATTGAATGCATTGGCTGGGAAAAGATGGGAATTGCCGCCTGGTCCTTCATGACGATGCCAGCTGCAGGGAACAAGCTCTGCTCTGATCACAGTCAATAACTTTTGAACTGCAGAACTGGAAGGGAACCCTATGGATCATCAACTCCAGACTCTCATAGACAGACGATGACATGTTTGAAACAGTCTTGGACTCTTCAAATAAAAAAAAGTTATTCACATCAATGCCAATTTTCTCTTCCATGTCAAATGAAAACCAAAAGAACTGAAAACCACGCTTCTAACCATAGCTAAAATAGACAAGACAGCACATTTTAACACATATTCTTGTCCGATATTTGAAAGGACGAGCTATTTCCAGGGCTTGGGACTTATCATATGGCTCCAGACAGCTGATGTCTTTCTTATGGTGTTCCACTCTGGAGAGGTTGTGATGAGGACATGTGCCTAGAGTGTTTTGGTGAGCTCGCCAAAAGGGAGCAAACTCGAAAGTTCAACATTACGGCTGCTAAATCACCATTGCTCAGTTGTGGCTGTGCTCAAATCCTGGATTTCGTACTGTACTGGAATGTGGGCGGGAGGGTGGGAGTAAAGAATTAAAGTAAAGCAAGGAATTTCTTTAACAGTGGAATGTCTTCAACTTTGGAATAAATAGTCTTTATGGCAGACTACCCTGCATTTTAGCTTCTGCCCCTGGACCTTTTATTTCCCAGGTGGTTTGGTACTTTCTGACTCTTTATCTCTTGCATTTTCATAGTGGCTAAGTCATATTCATATTCCAGCGGGTAGACTAATGCCTGAATACCACTGTAATGAATAATTTCTACTTTTCCTATCTAACATTAGTTGTGATCAGGATTTGATTTGATCTGGATCTGATAGTCTCTAAAGATAGTTTGTTGTGATATGCTTCCTCCTTTTGATCATGTTTCCCTTAGTTTTGTACTTTGCTTATCTGCCATTTTTAAAAGGCATTCTTTCTATCCTGTCCAGTATTTTCTCTCATTCATTGTATAAGACAGAGAGATCATAATTTTAAGAAGGAAAGAGCAAAATGTAATCTGGATTACAGGAAAATAGAAAAGTGAATTGATTTTGCTAGAATCAGAGCTTCCTAGAACCTTTCTTTATGGTGTAATTAAGAATAATAACTGTGTGCTGCCAAGTCAATTCTGACTTATGGTAACCTTTTTTTAGCTTGTTGAACTTCTTGAACAGAATCTTCCTTACAGCCGCTTGTGCAAGGATCTGTTGTGCAAGTGGTTGGAGCTTTCTGGAGTTAACACAAAGAGGTATTCATTGTATCCTTGTGCTCGTGTAAGCCCTATGTGTTTAATTTGAGAAATCTCCCACTGACACAATAGCAAGCCAGATATTTTGTAGAGCATTAGACCTTTTGGATTTTATTTGATACACTTCCAAACATTAAAGGTAAAGGTTCCCCTTTACAATTTTTGTCCAGTCGTGTTCGACTCTAGGGGGCGGCGCTTATCCCCGTTTCCAAGCCATAGAGCCAGCATTTGTCCGAAGACAATCTTCCGTGGTCACATGGCCAGTGCGACTTAGACACGGAACGCTGTTACCTTCCCACTGAGGTGGCCCCTATTTATCTACTCGCATTCGCATGCTTTCGAACCGCTAGGTTGGCGGGAGCTGGGACAAAGCGACGGGACCTCACTCCGTCGCATGGATTCGATCTTACAACTGCTGGTCTTCTGACCCTGCAGCACACAGGCTTCTGCGGTTTAGCCCGCAGCGCCAACATATCCCCTCTTCCAAACATTATTAGGAATAAATTTGGAATATAGGGTCATCAGTGTTTAGATGACACACATCTCCGTCTCTCTTTTCTGTCACAATGTTGAAATACTTAAGCAGTGTCTGGTGCTGACGATGGGTTGGATGATTGCAAAATAAATAAATAAATAAATCATGCTGACACACAGTAAGATGGCGATACCATAGATATGTGACTGTGAGATTCAATAACTGGATAGATATCTTGTCCTGGACATGGTGGAACTTCCCTTGAAGGAGCAGGTGTATCATTTGGGAGTACTTCTTGATTCAAAATTATCACTAGAAGCCCAAGTGGCTACAGTGGTGAGAAGTGTTTGTGCCAGATTATGACTGATTTCTCAGCTAGAGCCGTTCCTAAGGTCTGGCTTCAGTCATTCATAACGTGCCTTTAGCTGGACATGCTCTAATAACTTCTGGGTGGAAAATTGCCACGAGCTATACCTGGGTCTTCTCTTTAAAACAGTCTAGAATTTGCAGTTGGTGTAGGATGCCAAGGCCAGATCAGTCGGATGGTGAAGAAGGAGCCTATTTCTGATCTTCAGATACATTGGCTGAAATCCTATTGTGTTGTTACATAAAAGGCATAACTTTTAGAGGCAAATTGACTCAAGTTAAGATTTGGTAAATAGGAAAGCCAGTTAGCATTGCATACACCTGGGGGTAGTATACTTTTAAAAGTCAGGTCATACTTCCGCAGTATTAGAGAGCAGGCCAGGTAGGTGGGGCTCGTCAGCCCTGGAAGGCAGACCATCTAGGAGAAGGAAAGCTCCTTTTTCAAACCTCCACTGCCTTGTGGCTATATCCACCGATGGAAAAGGCTTCAGGAGTTAACCTCAAGGCAAAATCCGGAGCCAGAGTCCTGAAGAAAGTTCGTGTAGTTCTGGCAACTCCAGCGATGTCGCTGGAACCAGTTGTATTGGCTCTTACCTTTCCATTGGACGATTTCAGCGACGTGGACAGAGGGGATTTGCTACTTGGGTAACAGCCTATCCTCCATATCATTTTACCCAGGCTTCGTACTCTGGAGAGGACACTCCAGCTTCGCATGCAGCGTTGAAACAACATGGGAAGTAGCAGTTACCGGTTATAAGTCTTTGCTCGATTGGCGTAGGGCATGATGGTGGGAGAGGCCATTGCACCTCACTAGGTAGATACCGCTTGCCTTAAACTGGGCAGCCCCCACGGCCTCTCCCATTTTGAAGAGACCCTTGTCCAGCAGGCTGAGGCAAAGAGGAAGTCACAAAATCAGCAAAATCAGGGAGCTGGACAGGGGACAGATTGGATTTGTCTTCAGTGTGGAAGGGATTGTCATTCTCAAATCGGCCTCCTCAGCCACACTAGACACTGTTCCAAGTCCTCCATACAGAGCACGTTACCATAGTCTTTCGAGACTGAAAGATGCCTGAACTATGAAGAAACTTCTGAGGGTGTTCCCTGTTCCCTACTGAGCCATGGGGCGCAGAGTGCAACTGATAATGTCTGCAGAGTTTTCTTAACTTGAGACAATCTACCTCCAAAAGTTACAACTTTGCAGAGCAGTGCAACAGAATTTCAACCATTTAGCTGTTGTTCTGCACCATCAGGTCAGGCCTGACTTATAGCAATTCTATAAGAGAGTTTTCAAGGAAAGTGAAATATTTAAAGTTCCATCCCCACTAGTGAGTTTCCATGGCTGAATGAGGATTTGAACCCTGTTCTCCAGTCAGTCCATCACACCCTCCAACATCACACTGGGCATCCACAGCCATTTAACTACTACAGTGGTGCCTCGCTTACCGAGTGCCCCGTTTAACGACGAATCCACATAGCGATTTTTTTGCGACTGCAAAAGCAATCGCATTGCGATCTTTCTAATGGCAAAAAATCGCTTTGCGATGATCGGCAAGCTGTTTCACTTACCGATTTTCGCATAACGATGTTTTAAAAACAGCTGATCGGCGGTTCCAAAATGGCCACCCGCTGTGTTTTCGCGCCCATTCCTCGCATACTGGGCAGCAATAATGGCGGCAGTATGGAGGATTTTCACATAATGGTGAGTTTTTTGCCCATAGGAACGCATTAAACGGGTTTTAATGCATTCCTATGGGCTTTTTCTTTTCACATAGCGACGAACCCGGATAGTGACAGTTTTTCCGCAACGGATTATCGTCGCTATGTGGGGCACCACTGTACTTTAAAAAGTCAGAAAGCCACTGCTGCTTGGGTAACAGCCTATCCTCCATATTACCTTACCCGGGCTTCATGCTCTGGAGAGGACACTCCTCGATTCAGAGCATGACACCATAGTCTCTCGAGACTGAAGGATGCCTATGATGGAGTTCCAATGCAAGAGGAATGAAATTATCCCTCCTTGTTGCAGTTGCAAATTAGAGATAGCTGAGAGAGTAAGAAAAAGAAAGAATTACAACTATCTTGTTAATATGGAACTAGTTTCTTGTAAGTTCTGTGTCCTTTCAGATAATTTGCTATTGTGACTGCCTCTCTCCCAAGCAAAAAGTTTTCAAACCTGCAGGAACTGTAATTTTCTAAGCCATCTTGCAAGTTGTAATTTTCTAACTTTAGCCCTTTGTTTTTAGAGTAAGCTGATCTTTTTTGGCCATAATTCCCTCTTAGTATGACCTTATGGGTATCTAAAGCCACATAGCTAAGAATGGAGAAATCTTAGAAAAGCTAATGCTTCCCAGAAGTTACCGTATCTGCCTTGCATGAGAGCTGCTGACATCTCCTCCTCCTCTTGACCTCTTTTGTATCTGCTTAGGAAAGGGATCATTCTAGTGGTTTACTTGGAAAAACATTGGTGCCTTTAAGCCACATCTTAGGCACTGGAAACTCTGTGCAGAAACCTAGCAGCGTGGCAGCAATTTAAAGCCTGGGGTCTTGAAGTCCTGCTGGAAACTGTGCTGAAAAAGGTCACCTTGATGCAACAAAGTAATTGTAGGGTTAGTTGTTGGTAGGAGGTTGAAAAAAAAAAAACACCACACACACAAAAGTTAAATGTCCTCATAGAAACTAGTTTTTTTTTTCACTTTCAAAATATTGTTTACTATTCTGGTTGACTGCTCCTGTTGTTTGCAGATTGACTCACTTGACTCTTGTCATACTGTTTACTAGTGATTGGGATTTATGGAAAACTGACTCCCCACCCCAATGATCCATATGGTATATGTTCTCTGTTATAGCCAGAGTGCTGTATTTTGTTTTGGATGGTTTGACAAGGGTTTTGGGCTTGTTGGGAAGGTATAGGGATTTTGAGAACGGCAATTCAAAGAACTCATTTTTCTGAACTCAGGTAGAGCAGGGAACTGGCACTAGATGGCCTTTAGGATTTACTGTGTGAGTTACTATTTCTTCTTCTTCTTCTTCTTCTTCTTCTTCTTCTTCTTCTTCTTCTTCTTCTTCTTCTTCTTCTTCTTCTTCTTCTTCTTCTTCTATTATTATTATTATTGTGTTGTTGTTGTTGTTAAAGTATTTATTTAAGGACAGTGTAGGGAATACAAAAGTAGGGGGGAATAGGGAAGAGGGGGCAAAAGGTTAGGGGGATAGGAGAACACAGAGTATACCATCATACTACTACCACTACCACGGGATATTTCTCATCTATAGCAGTGGCCTGCAGGGCTGCTTGGAGACAAAGGACTCTCTGGTGAAAATTTCCAAGATTTGCAATACTAGCCTCCCAGCCCAGAAGTGGAAATGGGTTTCCCGAAATCGGCTCTTCAACATTGGAACCATGCAGTGCTTGGGGGTCTCCTGGAAATCTGCAAACACCAGCACAGCAGCCCATGCACTAGCCACCTATGAATGTGACCGAGAATCTGTCAACATGCGGTGGAACTGCCGGAGCCTAGGGGACCAGCTTTCCCAATATTTGAGCTCTAGGTTGGGGAACTGGTCAGTGCCACCAGCAGAGAGGGGTGATCAAGCCCGCGGAGGCCAGTGGAAGATCTATGGCAGCGATGAAGATTTGTGCTCCAGGCCATACTCTGGTAAAGCCTCCATGAAGAGACTGAAATATAGTCTTGTAATCGAGCATTGCATCAGCTGCATTTTATGGGTTTGTTTGGCAAACTTGGAATTTAGTTTTCTTTGGTCTGGGAACCTGTGCTTTCATTATTATTATTTTTTAAAAAGAAAATTCAGTGTAGGATGTCTAAGAACACGAGTCACTGACCCAATGTAGGATGTCTAAGAACACGAGTCACTGAAGTATGTAAGAATGCCAAACATGCTTGCTATGTTCGAATAAGTAGTCTCACCTTTCAAAAACCAGCCAAATTATCTTCGAAAATCACAAGCAGGGCTTTATGATTATATTTCTGGCGTGTGTGCAAGTAGCTGTGTTTGTCCGTTTTACAGGAAAACCCACAGAGTCCATCTTAAAGCAAACACATTTTATTTATCTGTTGCGCTTGTGGACTCTCACCCATTTAAACTGATGAGGTAGTTTCAGTCCGTTAAAACCTACATTAAATAAAACATGTTAGACTCCAGGGTGCCAGAGAACTTTAAAAAAAAAAAAATTATGATAACAGGCGAGCCCCATTGTGTGTCCACAGTAACTCATAGTTAGATGTGTACAGACTCATATAATGATTCTGGCAAACCTTGCTAGTTGTCTCAAGTGGGACTAGTTTTCATACAATTAAAAAAATACTTAAATGTATGGAAATTAATATATAATCTTGTGCTAGTGACCATAAGAACATGAAGTAAGAATGACTTCCATAGGCTGGACATGCACAGCTTGAAGCAATGTTATTGTCCACCCTAAGACTAGCTATTTTGGTTGTCTGATCATCAGCTCTAGTGCATTGTAGTTTTCCTTTGTTCCTAATAAGATTTTATTGAAAATATTTCCCTTCCTGCAGCTTTCCTTGACAAACAGTCATGATGCATTTATGCCTCCTTCCCACCAATATCTGAAATGGTGAAAGTAGAATATCTTCAGTAGCTCTGTGTAACAATAATTAATATAAAACAACCATTCAGAGCCTGTTTATTTGTAGATTCAAAGTTGTTGCCAATAAAATGGTTAACCTATTTGAAAAGTATTTTGGCAAGAAACCTATTGGGTTTGCACAGCATAAACCAGAAATCATGCAAGCAGTGTGTGTCTGATCTTGCTGCATGTTGTGAACATTGATGTGCCTGAATTGTGCCATTGGTTTCACAATTAGTTATGCGCCTAGGCATTTGACAGTTGGCCAGCAAGATGAGAACACTGCTTGCACAGTACCTCTTACATGTGCTGTATTTCACAATAGGATTCTGATATTTATTGAACAAGTCTGGACCATCCGTTAAATCCCAATTAGGGCATTGCATTCAGCATTCTAAAAAATTTCAGCCAATTATGTGAAAAGTTGCATTTTTTAACTACAAGAAAACCTCAGCCAGCAATTAAAAAACAAAACAAAAACTTTTTCCCATCTGTAATTCCAACTATTTATTTGGCAGGGTTTACCGCACCTCCTTAAAGCCAACCTAAATAGAAAAACAATATAGTGTCTCTGAAATATGTTTATTTTTGCCTGCCTTCCAAAATCCTCACCAAACTCCCATCTACTATTTTCATGTTTTCACTGCAACTCAAGAGTTCCTTTTTAGGCCATTGATGGGTCACTTCCAATGCCACTAACCACCATTCATTTTGAATTCCTCTTAAGTTCAGCCATCAAATTCCATTTGTTTGTGAAGCTGCTTCATAATGAACTTGTCCTTTTTTGCTTTGGCTTGGATCAAGATAAAATTAATCACACTATGTCCCATTGAAATCAATCTGAACAGTTAATTGCAACTAACTTAAGTCTTGTTGATTTCAGTGGGACCTATATGCATTTAATTTAACCTCAAACCTCTCCTCTTTATGTGTGGTTTGTATATGTATTCTGCAGTTCCACAGCTATAGCAAAATACAGAAAAGGATATTTGGCATGGAACTCAGCATTCTAAGAATAGCAGCCATCATAAGAAAAATTATAATGAGTGTCTTCCCGTAAGGCTACAAAAATGGGCAGGTCTGTGAGTAGTGTCTGGAGAAGTTTCAAAAACCAGAAGGAAGGCTAGGGAAGGTTTTGAAAAGATTTCATGGAAGAATACTGTACTTCTTGAAAACAAGTCCATAAATGTGCATTTCTTTAATTTGCATAGCTAATTCAAGGCACACAACTCAGCATTTACGGGGAAACAGTTTGAATACCTCGATGAAATTGGAAAAATACCTTGATGAAAATGGAAAGTGAATGTCCTATAAGATTGGACCTATAGATCCATGTCCACCAAAACAGGATTCCTCCAAATCTACATGCTATTTCATACTGAATGTGCTCTCTGCTACAGAGTGTAGAGCACGTACCCTACATTAAAGTGTGACACCATGATTAATACAAAGAAACCTGCATTAAGGGAATTATTCATAGATTTGAAAGGAGTTACATTCACAATTGATAAACAGAGTAAGCATGTCTTACTAAAAAAATCAACAAGTTAAAGGTGGCAAATCTTCATTGGCAGCCACCTTTAAAGAAATCCTTGAGAATTTGTTTTGGATTGGATAGAAGAAGTTAACTCCATTCTTGCTACTCCTAAACCTTTTGTTTTAGGAGTGAAGATACACAACACATTTTCAACATCCATTAATCTACAGAATAATTACTAGTTGCAGTAGCAAACAGTCTTATTTTATGTTCATAATGGCAGCAACCTTTATGACCTTGTTGCTTTTCAGCAAATTGCTACAGTTAGCTTCTTGCCCTTAATAAATTCCTGTATCTTGTCTTGTATTCTGTACAATCCAGATAGTTCCCACCTGATGCAGAACAGTAATGTTTATTTTGTTAGTGTAGAGTGTGCATAGTTCTATTATATGTGGAAAAAATCTCATCATGTGCTTGGTGGAGCAATCTGCCAGCAATAATGCGTGTGGAATTAATCTGAGGTCAGGCAGGATGTGCTGAGGGCATATGTGGCCAAAGGAATTATGGAAAGACTGGATGGATTTTGCACAGGACTACAGACTGTAGTTAGCCAAATTCTTTGATTAAATCGTAAGCATTTCTTTTTCGTTTCAGAAAAGGAGCGAGTCTTGAATCGTGGATTTCTCTCTTTCTCTTTCCAGAAATTTACACCATTCAAGGGAATTCTCATGGGAAGCCCTGCACCATTCCTTTCAAGTATGACAACCAGTGGTTCTATGATTGTACAAGCATGGGTCGTGGAGATGGTCATCTCTGGTGTGCCACCATGCAGGATTATGGCAAAGATGAGAGATGGGGCTTCTGCCCCATTAAGAGTAAGATGCTTCCATGGGTTTTATTTTAGCCCTTGTCAAGCTAGCTGTGGGATTAGAGAGAGATTTCTGTTGACAGATTTTCAGTGGAGTGGGAGTTTTTCTTCTGATTCCTTCTTGTCACCTATGGTTTTTAAGATTTCAGGGCTCTGTCTTCCTGAGCTACTCTGCCACTCCTCTCCCTGGACTGCACGTAAGTTTTTCCTAGGTTACTGGAAAAACATCATTAAGAGTTCTCATTTCTCTTTCTAGAATGCTCAGTTTAAGTGATCAATGCATAATGAAAGTGTTTGCTTATTTTAGGAAGTTGAAAATGTTACTGTTTGGTCAACAGCTTCCAGACTTTCCCCAGCTTGCAGGTCCAGTGGTTTTGACAGGCAGAGGGATTTTGAGACTTGTTGTCTGAGTGGTAGTTTTTTTCCCAAGGTTTGATTTATTTGTAATCAATGGAAGCCCTGCCACCTATTTTAAACTTTCCTTTGCTGTCATTCTGCTATTGAACCCTCCCCCCCTTCTCTTTCTCTCAGTCATAGTTATACAATGCAAAAGCTGGAGAATGTGTCATCCTGACATCCATAGAATCTCACATGTTCAGCCAAGTGACTAGTTCTCTTTTGGATTTATTTCAGTTGTCTAATTAAGTTGAATATGGATTCTAGGAATTGTATGTTGTAACTTCCTTACTTTCTGGTCTGTGTTGTCTTAGGCAATGACTGTGATACTTTCTGGGACAAGGACCAGCTCACCAGCAGTTGCTACCAGTTCAATTTCCAGTCCACCCTTTCCTGGCAGGAGGCTGGGAAGAGCTGTGAGCAACAAGGGGCCAGCTTGCTAAGCATCACAGAGATCCATGAACAGACCTACATCAATGGTGAGCAGTAGTAATATTGTCTGTATTATTACTGTCATATTATCTCTATTGTTGTACAATATATGTTTAATTTGTTGTACATCACCCTTAATAGCAATTTGCTAGATGGGCAGTCAGTAAGTAAGTATGTAAGTATGTAAGTATGTAAATATGTAAGTATGTAAGTATATAAGTATGAAAGAAAGAAAGAAAGAAAGAAAGAAAGAAAGAAAGAAAGAAAGAAAGAAAGAAAGAAAGAAAGAAAGAAAGAAAGAAAGAAAGAAAGGAGGGACTAAATCAGGTTCTTCTGACAGGAATGAGCAAGGTACAGTGGTGCCTCGCTTAGCGATCACTTCGTTTAACGAAGAATTCACTTAAC